TATCTTCCGGTGGTTTTGATTTGCGTTTCCCTGATGATGAGTGATGTTGAGCATCTTTCCATGTGTCGGTTGGCCATCTGGAGGTCTTCTTTGGGAAACGCCTCTTCCAATCCTCTGCCCCTTTTTCAATTGCATTGTTTGTTTTTTGCCTTTTGAGTTGTAGGAGTTGTTTATCTATTTTAGATAGTAATCCTTAAGTTTGCAAATATTTTCTCCCATTCAGTAGGTGGCCCTTCATTTTGTTGATGGCTTTATTTGCTATGCAAATGATTTTCAATGTGATATAATCCTGCTCATTCATTTTTGTCATTCTTTGCTCGTGGAGTCAGACCAAAAAAATCAACAACGCCTGTGTCAAGGAGCTTATCGCCTATGCTTTCCTCTAGGAGTTCCATGGTTTCAGGTCTTACATTTAAGTCATTAATCCATCGTAAGTTAATTTTTTTACGTATGGTATAAAATAGGCTAGTTTCATCCTTTTGTATGTAGTTCAGTTTGCACCACTGTCTGATTTAAACTCCGTTTATTGAAGAAAGTGCCCTTTCCCCATTTAACATTCATGTCTCCTTTGTTGCAAACTAATTTGACCATATATGCATGGTTTTATTTCTGCTCTGTCTATTCTGTTCATGGATCTGTGGGTCTGTTTTTATGTCAGTGCCATCTGTCTTGATTACCGTAGCTTTGTAGTATAGTCTGAAGTCAGGGAGCATGATGTGTCCAGCTCTGTTGTTATTTCTCAGGATTGCCTTGGCTCTGTGAGGTCTTTTGTGGTTCCGTACAAACTGTAGATTGTTTCAGTTCTGTGAAAAATGGCATTTTGATAGGGAGCGCTTTGAACCTGTACCTTGCTTTGGGTGATATGGACATTTTAACAATATTCTTTCCATTCGTGAGCACGGAATATGTTTCCAATTATCTGTGTCTACTTCAGTGTCTCTCATCACTATCTTACAGTTTCCAGTGTACGTATCTTTCACCTCCTTGGTTAAATTTATTCCTAGATAGTTTATTCTTTCAGTTGCAAATGGAGTTGTTTTCTTCATTTCTCTTTTGGGTAGTTTGTTGTTAGTATATAAAAATAACAGATTTTAGTACACTGCAACTTTTTAAAAAAATTTTTTTTAACGTTTATTTATTCTTGAGAGACAGAGAGACACAGAGCGTGAGCAGGGGAGGGGTAGAGAGAGGGGGAGACACAGAATCCGAAGCAGGCTCCAGGCTCAGCTGTCAGCACAGAGCCCGACGCGGGGCTCGAACTCACGAACTGCAAGATCATGACCTGAGCCGAAGTCGGTCGCCTAACCAACTGAGCCACCCCGGCGCCCCCATACACTGCAACTTTAATGAATTCATTTATTAGTTCTAACAATTTTTGTGGGGTTTTTTTGGATTTACTATATATAAAATGATGTCATTCATAAATAGTGACACTTTTACCTTTTCCTTTCCAACTTGGATGCCTGGGTTTCTTTGTTCTTGCCTAATTGCTCTACCTAGGACTTCTAATAAAATGTTGAATTAAATATTTAAGAGTCTTTATTCATGTGTTGTTCCTGATCTCATAGGAAAAGCTTTCAGCTTTCCACCATTGAGTATGTTACCTGCGGGCTTGTCATCTATGGCTTTTATTATGTTGAGGTATATTCCTCCATACGTACATTGTTGATTGTGTTTATTGTAAATGGATGTCGAAATTTGACAAATGCTTTCTCTGAATCTATTAAGATCATAAGATTTTTCTTTATTTTGTTAATGTAGTGTGTCACACTGATTGATGTGTGGATGTTGAACCATCCTTACAGCCCTGGAATAAATTCCATTTGATCATGGTGTGTGACCCCTTTAATGTATTAACTCGGTTTGTTAGTAGTTTGTTGAGAATTTTTGCATTTGTATTCATCAGAGATATGAGACTATAGTGTTCTTTTTTGGTATCCTTGTCTAGTTTTGGCTTTGTTAAATGAGTTTGGAGAGTTCCTTCCTGTTCAGTTTTTTAGTAGAGTTTGAGAAAAAATTAAATTACATCTCCTTTCAGTGTTTGGTAGAGTTCACCATCAAAGCTATCTGGTCCTGGACAATTGTTTGTTGGGAGGTTTCGATTACTGATTTAATCTCCTTACTGGTAATCTGTCTATTCAGATTTTCTATTTACGATTCAGTCTTGGAACATAGTGTTTCTTAGATATTTATCTCTTTGTTCCAGTATTTTCCAATTAGTTGATATATAATTTTTGTAGTAGTCTCATGATCCTTTTCATTTCTGTCATATTATCATAGATTCTTTAATTTCTGATTTTATGTACTTAAATTCTTTCTCTTTCCTCCCTCCCTTCTTCCCTCTTTTGGTGAGCCTAGCTAAATGTTTGTCAGTTTTGTCTTTTCAAAGAACAAGGTCTTAGTTTCATGGATCTTGTCTATTGTTTTTAGTCTCTCAATCTTCTCTGACCGTTGTTTTCTTTCTTCTAAGTGTGGGTCTCATTTGTTCTCTTTTTTTCTAATTCTTTTAGCTAAAAACTTGTATTGTTCTTTTTAGTTTTTTTCTCTTATTTCTTAATGTAAGCCTGTATTGCTATGACTCTTAGAACATTTTTTTCTGCATTCCATAAATTTTAGTAAATTGTATTGTCACTTTTATTTATCTCAAGGTATTTTTTTTATCCCTCCTTTTGATTTCTTCTTTGGTCACTGTTTCTTCAGGAGCATACTGTTTAATCTCCACATATCTGTGATTTTTTATAGTTTCCTTCTTATAGTTGATTTGTCATGTAATACAATTGTGGTGAAAAAATATGCTTGATATGATTTCAATTTTTTTTTAAATCTTTTGAGAGTTGTTTTGTGGCTTAACATAAGATCTCTCTTGGAGAATGTTCCATGTGCACCTAGGAAGAATGTGTATTATGCTGTTCCTGGACAGAATGTTTTATATAAATCTATTAAGTCCATCTAGTCCAATGTATCATTTAAGGCCAATGTTTTCCTGTTGATCTTTTATTTGAGTGATCTATCCACTAATATAAGTCGGGAATTAAAGTCACCTGCAATGATTGTATCACTGTATTCTTTCTTGAGGTCTGTAATATTTGCTTTTTACATTGACATACTCCTGTGTTGGGTACGTATATTTATAAATGTTATACCCTGATATTGGGTGACCTCTTTATCATTTTGCAATACCCTCCTTTTTTTTCTATTTTCAAAAAAAAAAATGTCATTTTATTATTTTTCTTCAATTCAGTATAGTTAACTTAGTGGTATATTAGTTTCAGGTGTACAATAGGGTGATTCAACAATTCTACATTCCCCAGTATTGTCTTTAGCGTACTCTTAATCCCTTTCATCTATTTCATTCATCCCCTACCCACCTCCTCTCTGGTAACCACCAGAGGGGAGTAGGTAAGAGTAGGTAAGAGTCTGGTGTTTTGTTTTGGTTTTCGTATTGGTTTTTGGTTTGTTTCTTTTATTGCTTTCTCTCTCTCTCCCTCTCTCTGTCTCTGTCTCTATTTCTCTGTCTTTCTCTTTCTCTCTGTCTCCCCTTCCTTCCTTCCTTCCTTTGACATATAAGTGAAATCATAATGGTACTTGTCTCCCTCTGATTTACTTCACTTAGAATTATACTCTCGGGGCGCCTGGGTGGCGCAGTCGGTTAAGCGTCCGACTTCAGCCAGGTCACGATCTCGTGGTCCGGGAGTTCGAGCCCCGCGTCAGGCTCTGGGCTGATGGCTCGGAGCCTGGAGCCTGTTTCCGATTCTGTGTCTCCCTCTCTCTCTGACCCTCCCCCGTTCATGCTCTGTCTCTCTCTGTCCCAAAAAAAATAAATAAACATTGAAAAAAAAATTAAAAAAAAAAAAAGAATTATACTCTCTAGATCCATCCATCTTGAGGCAAATGCAAGATTTCATTCTTTTTATGGCTGAGTAATATTCCCTTGTCTATCTATACCATGTCTTCTTTATATAATTCATCTATCAGTGGGCACTTGCACTGCTTCCATAATTTGGCTATTAGAAATAATGTTTCTATAAACATAGCAGTGCATCAATCTCTTTGAATTAATGTTTTCATACTCTTGAGTAAATAGCAAGTAGTCCAATTACTGGATCGTGTGGTAATTCTCTTTATTTTCTAAGGAAGCTTCATAGTGTTTTGCACACTGCTGCACCAGTTTGCATTTCCACCAACAGTGCACAAGTGTTCCTTTTCCTCCACATCCTTTCCAACACTTGTTACTTCTTGTCTTTTTTTAATAGCCATTTTAATAGATGTGAGGTAATAGCTTATTTTGGTTTTCATTTGCATTTCCTGATGATGAGTGATGTTGAGCGTCTTTTCATGTGTCTGCTGGCCATCTGGATGTCCTCTTTGGAGAAATGTCTGTTCGTGTCTTCTGCCCGTTTTTAAATAGGATTTTGATTATTTGGGGGGCAGAGTATTGAGTTATATCAGTCCTTTATATATTTTGAATACTAACCCTTTATTGGATATGTCATTTGCAAATATCTTCTCCCATTCAGTAGGTTGTCTTTAAATTTTGTTGATTGTCTTCTTCGTTGTGCAGAAGCTTTTTATTTTGTTGTCCCAGTAGTTTATTTTTGCTTTCATTTTCCTTACCTCAGGAGACATATCTAGAAAAATGTTGTTACGGGCAATATCAGAAAAATTAGTGCCTGTGCTCTCTTCTAGGATTTTTATTGTTTTAGGTCTCACATTTAGGTCCTCAATCCATTTTGAGTTTATTTTTGTTTGTAGTGTAAGAAAGTTTCATTTGTTTGCACATAGCTGTCCAGTCTTCCCAGCACCATTTGTTAAAGCCACCCTCTTTTGGCCGTTGCATATTCTTTATTCAATGCCCTATTTGTCTTTTATTATAATCTTTGTTTTATATATATATATGTATTTTAATTTTTTAAGGTTTGTTTATTTCTGAGAGAGGGAACTAGTATGCAAGAGCATGAGTGGGGGAGGGGCACAGTGAGAGGGAGACCCAGAACTCAAAGCGGGCTCCAGGTTCTGTGCTGTCAGCACAGAGCATAACACAGGGCTTGAACCCACGAACTGTGAGATCATGAACTGAGCCAAAGTCGGACGCTTAATGGACTGGGCCACCCAGATCCCCACAATCTTTGTTTTAAAGTCTCTTCTGTCCCGGGCGCCTGGGTGGCTCAGTCGGTTAAGCGTCCGACTTCAGCCAGGTCACGATCTCGCGGTCCGGGAGTTCGAGCCCCGCGTCAGGCTCTGGGCTGATGGCTCGGAGCCTGGAGCCTGCTTCCGATTCTGTGTCTCCCTCTCTCTCTGCCCCTCCCCCGTTCATGCTCTGTCTCGCTCTGTCTCAAAAATAAATAAAAAACGTTAAAAAAAAAATTTAAAGTCTTTTCTGTCTGATACAAGTGTAGGTACTCTAGCTTTCTTTTGTTTTCTCTTAGCATGGCATACCTTTCTCCCTCCTTTCTCTTTGTCAGTGTACATGTAGATTGGTCTTTCTTTACTTTTTTTTCATTCAGCGATGCTCTCTTTTTTTGATCGGAGAATTTATTCTATTTACATTGAAATTTTTTTAGATGTTTATTAATTTTTGAGAGAGAGAGAGAGAGTGAGGACCCAAGTTGGGGAGGGGCAGAGAGAGAGGAAGATAGAGAATCAGAAGCAGGCTCCAGGCTCTGAGCTGTCAGCGCGGAGCCCAACACAGGGCTCAAACCCATGAACCGTGAGATCTTGACCTGAGCCAAAGTCCTGCTTAACCTACTGAGGTACCCAGGTGCCCCAGTCCATTTACATGTAAAGTAATTATTGATGGGTTTGTACTTACTGTCATTCGTTACTTGTTTCCAGGCTGTTGTACAGTTCTACTTGCTTCCTTCTTCTCTTTCTCCCTTTTCTTGTGGTTTGATAACTGTTAGTCTTTTGTGTATGTACTGTAGCTTTTTGCTTTGTGGTTACCGTGAAGGGTCACATATAACAGCCTGTGTGTAACAGTGTATTTTAAGTTGATGGCAAGTTGTTGGTACACATTCTAAAACTCCACATTTTTACTCCCCTCACTACGTTTCATGTTTTTTGATGTCACACTGTACATCTTTTTATTTTATGCATTCCCTCACTGATTATCATAGTTACAGTTATTTTTATTATTTTTAACTTTCATGCGACTTATTTACTACTTTTACAGTATATTTACCTTTACCGGTGAGATTTATACTTTCATATGTTTTCTTGTTACTAATAAATGCCCTTTCTTTTCAGCCTAAAAAAAAAGAAACAACCCTTTAACTTTCCTTGGAAGGCTGGGTTAGTAGTTAGTGAATATTTTTAAGCTTTTATTGCCTGAAAAACTCTTTCTCTCTCCTTAATTTCTGAATGATAACCTTGCCAGATATAGTCCGAAGAGTTTTCCTTCATTTTGAATATATTGTGTGATTCCCTTCTGGCTCGCAGAGGTTTTGCTGAAAATCTGATAGCCTTATGGGGGTTCCTCTGTTCATAACAAGTTGTATTTTTCTCCTGCTGCTTTTAAGATTCACTCTTTAGGTCTTGACATTTGAATTATCATGTGTCTTGGTGTGGATCTTTTTGGTCTCTTCCTATTTGGAATTCTGGGCTTCCTGGATCTAGATATTTGCTTCCTTCCCCAGGTTACGAAGTTTTCAACCATTAGGTCTTCAAACAAGTTTGCTGCACCTTTCTTCTGGAACTCTTGGAACACAAAAGTCACTCTGTGTCTTTTTGACTCTGTTTCCGTAGATTAGGCAAACAGTTACTTCTTCCAGTCTTGAAGGAGTGGCCTTGTGCAGGACGTAAACCTTACCATTAAAACTTGACCTATGGGGCGCCTGGGTGGCGCAGTCGGTTAAGCGTC